AATCTTCTTTCCTGGTTTCATGCCTAAGAAACTAGTAACAATCCATTATCCCTTTGGAGTTCTAACCATAATCCTGAGGAATTGGTCACATGGTCACAATCAAAGAATAATGCTCCTTATCCATTCAGCAGTACAGAGCCTAAGGAGGTTCCCTGTCTACATAACATATTTGCTTCTAGCCCCCTCTGCAGCCCTGCCTGTAGGAACCCCAGTTGTACTGGGGCTCCTGCTACTGATGCTGTAATTTCTTTTTATCACTATTCAAAAGTGTGGATAGATGCCTTGAGGCCACAATAATCTCTGCTCCTGGGCCAGTGTTCAGGAAATATTCCTGTTCCATTCCCACACATATAATTTTAACCAATCTGGGTATAATGTTACCTTGAAATAGGATGTCTAAGATGTTTGAAGAAATGACATGAATACTTGCTCATCTCCACTAGAATGAGCTATAGTCTCTGAACAGAATGGGGTGATCAGAATCTCCAGTGCCTTGAACAACCACCTTACACAGTACTTTGGAAAGTGCTGGAAGCAGTGGGAATGTGTACAGCAGGCCTTTCAGCCATAGTGTCACTAAAATGTTGATCCCTTCTTCTCTGTTGTCTTGAAAATTGGGAGATTTACTTGTTATTGTCTCTGCTATATGCACATTGTGATGTTGCACATATATACACAATGGATGGAACTCATGTCACAATGGTGCAACACTGCTTTTTATATTTTGAAGAAAGCATGAAGTTAGCATTATAGCTAACTGGGAATGTTTTGCAGAACATTTCAAAGGGCTGGGGGGTTTTTTGAGCTCAAAAGAAAATACATTACCCATTTTTTGTATACCCCTTGTGTGTAGTGTAGAATTGCCTTTTGTTTCAGAATTGTGGAATTGCCAATTGTAGATTTGGCATTTGATTAATAAATACAGGTAGCCCTCACTTAACGGCCACAATTGGGATCAGCAACTCAGTCGCTAAGCGATGCAGTCATTAAGTGAGATATCACGTGACCACAACAGACTTACAACCTCACTTCCGCCATGGTCATTAAGCAAATCACCCTCAGTCATTAAACAAGATGTCATGTGACCACCAGTTGCAGTTTTACTGCCGGCTTCTCCATTGACCTTCCTTGTCAGAAACTAGCTTCTGCATGATCATGGGATGTTCTGACGGTCATAAACACCCGCTGGTTGTCAAGCACCTGAATCTTGATCATGTGACCATGGGGATGCTGTGATGATTGTAAGTCTGAGGACAGGTCATATAGTTACTTTTTCAGTGCCATCATAACGTTGAACAGTTACTAAACAGGGGAGTCATTAAGTGAGGACTACCTGTATATACCTAATGTAGGAACGTTCATGAAACAAGAAGCATGTTTTGTTTATAGCTTGGAACAAAATAGCTTCAAAAATAACTTGATGGCACATAATCAAATTCTGGTGACTCCATGTAGTTTTTTTGTCAAATGTGGACTCAGTTTACCATTTGCCTTTTTTCTAGAAAGTTTTTTCAGCTCCCTAGTTTAGGTTACAGTCCTGGTGGCCTCCTATCCAATTACTAACTGGACCTGATCCTGCTGGGCATTGACAAAATCAGCTAAATGCTATCAACTGATAAGAAAGCATAAAGAACATCCTCAGAGTAAGGTAAAGGGAATCCTTCACCAGTAGAATGAGAGAAATTCATTATTGTTATAATTCCCTATTTGCAATTAGATAATTTGAAATGCTATTATATTTTTATTTTTTCTAAAGTATTATTTGCTTAATGGATGACCTAGCAGTTCAGTTTAGATTTTTTTTTTCTCTGAAAGGGAAATACTGTACTTAGTGTCATCATTCTTCTCAAGTTCCCAGGTGATACTGCTTGGCAACTGCAACAACACCACAAGTTGAAGTTAATTCTTGCGGAGAGAATGCATCCTATAGTTGCTAAGTAGCTCTCAATTTTTTTTCTACTTTGTAGCCAAATAGAGCAATATAGCTAAATCTTTTTTGTGGTCTAAAGTCAAGTATTTTCTAATTATTTATTTTAATTATTCTGTTTCTGTGCAATATTGCTATGCAATGCCCATATATTGCAGTTAAATTATGAATTCTGGGCTGCATTCTCAAAGAAGTTAACATTATTTCATACTTTGATATAAAAAGGAGCTTTTCTTATATAACCAAATTGAAATAATTTCCTGAATTCTAGTTGATGCTGTTGATTTTGATAATATGAACGTTTGTTAGATTTGCTTTAGATGCAGCTTTAAATTAGGGATAGCCTGAGCACATGCTATCATGATAGTGTTCAATATTTATTTATTTCTCTTTTAGAAGAGATAATTGGTACTATTTTGAAAGCATAGTCAAGATTTTATCTATTCAATCTTTCAATTTCATTAATTTTTGTGGATAAATTTCTGTAAGAGTGGGACTTAATAACCGTTCACATGTTGTGGTGCTACAGCACACCATCTCAACTGGCTAGTGACAATGGTTGTTGGGAATAGAGGATACATTGACCTCTTTTGAATGTGTATATTTTGCCTTAGTAAGCTAAAATGACTTTCATTGATTCAGGTAAAACAGAAAACTGTTATGAACCAGATACTTTCTAGTTTAATGTAGTTCATGCTATGAATTTGCAGGCATGGCAAAACTTTTATTCATATCCTATTAAGCTGGATTAGATAATCCAAACTGGGCCATTACCTTGAGAATAGTAAATGGAGATAGTTACCTCATTTTTTCATATAGGAAAAATCATAATTTTCATAAAGTTTTGTGATAGTGTACTCTGTTTATGGGCTTTGTCTATATAGGTGGTCCTCGTTTAACAACCACTCATTCAGCAACTGTTCGAACTTATGATGGCACTGAATGAGTGGTAGTTACGACTGGACCTTGTACTTAATGACTGTTGCAGCATCCCGTGGTCACATGATCTCAATTTGCAACCTTCTCTGCCAGCTTCCCACAAGCAAGTCAATGGGGAAACCAGCAGAAAGTCAGAAGTCACAGTCATGTGAGTTCCTCACTTAATGACCCACACAATCCTCGCTTAACAACGGCAACCAGGACTGCCAGAACTGCCATAGGTAAGCAGTGTGGTCACATGGTTTTTTGACTTACAACCACATCGCTTAACAATGGAGTTTCGATACCCAATTAACGTCATTAAATGAGGACTACCTGTAAGATAAGACAATGTGTTCTCTTTCCTGTCCTTTAAGTAACTTTAGTAGTTATCTTTAAAAATTAGTTGATCTTAGTGTTTATATACATTTTAATGCTTCATACTGAAATGGAGTCTCTTTCATTTTGTTAAATTTTATGTCCTAAAAGGAAATATCTTTAAATAGCATGGCCTGATTCTATTGCTTCATTGTAATGTAAGAACTGAACCATATGTTTATAAGATGTCATTAGAAAAGCAATTATGCAGTGTGTTTCTTAATATAATCATAATGATAACTCCATCAAATTATATCATATTTACTCTTTGATAGCTTTTTGTTCTTGTTCCATGAAAAATAGTGAAAGGGAATGTTGGGAATATTAGCTTCTCCTTTTGACACAGGCCCTTAATTGAGTAATGCCTATGTCTTCAAGCTTTGGTTCCATGCTTTCCAGTCTAACCTGCTTGTTGCCTGGTCTTCTGTCAGCCCTTCAAGGTAGACCAGCTAGGAAACAGTCTCAAGAAGGACTGGAACTATGCTTTATTAGCATAGGCTGTAGTAACAAGAATCTTGAAAGCCAGGCCATGTTTTCCCTTCCCTCCCTCTTATAATCCAAGCAGTTAAGGCAGAGTCAGTTTGAGTTTCTTTCTAAAGTTTTCTTTGTTTCCCAGACTTAAATCATGTTTTTGTAGTACAGTTTCTCCAAAGTCATCTCTGTGACTATCCACATCTTCAGATTAATTCCTTAGTTGTCACTTTCATTTTGTTTGTGTAGTGTTTGTTTCCCTTTAGTTCAGCTGTTGGCTTTTCATGTTGATTTGCTTTTATGAGCATATAGACTGAGCCACAAACAATATTATGGAAGAATTCTTGCTGAAATATCCAGGACATGCACTTTAACAACTTAATTAAATCTTTTTGGACCCAAACAGCCTCTGTGGCACAAAGTACCATGTATAACCTTTATCTGCTAAGAGCATTGCAACCCCTTCCTGGCAGAGAGAGTATGGTCACACATCCATGGCCTACTAACATCCTGTTCAGATGTACAATATTGAGTTATATCTCAGTTTCATGATATCATCGCACAGTGAAATTATTAGCTGTAACAACATTCTGGTCTTGTGATTGTTGATTGCCAAGATAACATTATTAGTAGGAATCCTTTTCTAAGAACATTATACTGAAGCTGCTGCTTCAGACAATGGGAACAAAATGGCACAAAACCGATAAAGCAGTTTAAGACATTGCAAAGAACATGTGATGCTTACAGAAGGCTTATCTGTGTACTGTGTACAAATACTTTTATTTGCCCATGAAAATTCTTATTTAAGACACACAGTATGTCATCCAAATACAAAGCTTTCTCTGTGAATTTCCATACTTCTGAGTGTAAAATAGAAGTTATTGGGAAAATTAGCATTCCCAGTGACTGAATTAAATAACATTTTGCCTGGTTTAGGATATCTTTTAACTCCAATTTTCAATGTCAGTGTCTTTTAATTTTTCATAAAACATGCTATAATTTGAAGGTTATCTTGTATCATTGCAGGATAAAATTGATGGAAGGATTATGTTACTTTTTTCACTGGTTAGAGTTCAAAGTGTATATTTGGACATAATGTTTTACTATGTTTTTGTAGTAAAGATGTTATAGTTTAACAGAGTAGACCTTAAGTTAAGTAGAAGTAGCTAGAAGAATTTCTTTTTGCCTAGATAAAGGCAATAAAATTATTTAAGATTGTGATTTACTGTAATTCAGTTTGATCGGTTTTGACAAAACCCTGTTACAGAATTTTCAGTGGAATTGGAACACTATGTTTTTCTTTTAGAATGAAAAACATGCTGCTGACCTTTACACCAAGTGATTGAAGAGACACAGAAGAAGCACATTTATTAATAACAACATGGGAAATACAACTACTAAGTTCCGCAAAGCACTTATCAATGGAGATGAAAATTTGGCCTGCCAAATATACGAGAGCAACCCTCAATTAAAAGAATCTCTGGATCCTAATATTTCTTATGGAGAACCTTACCAGCACAATACTCCATTACATTATGCTGCTAGGCATGGGATGAATCGAATATTGGGGTGAGTATTGTATTAATAAAGTGTTTAAATTTGCTTAGTGGCATAGCATGTACTTAAATTAGTTATAAGTTTATGGTCCAGATGGAATACCCACATGCTATAAGACATGTCACTTTTAAAAGACACTTTCAGAAGGTTTTTTTGATATTGTGTGAGGGGGATGGATCCATTTTTCAAATAAAAACAGTTAACTAAATCCATAGCATGTATTCCAGTAAGTATCTGTGTGGTTCATAGTTATTCTTAGAATAGCCATTTTCTCTTCATTGTTTCTATACTTGTACAGAAAAACATTCTGAAAACAGTCTGTGTGGCAGGATGTGATGACCTGATGGATATGGGTGTTACAAAATGGATACATGTTACAGGTTTACTGTCTTCCTTTCTGCTTTGGAATCTTGCTTTGAGAGAAAAGTGGTTTTTATAAATAAATATATAAATAAATTCCAAAGTTTCAAGAGGGTTTTAGGGACCCCAAGATTTGCAGAACTATGAGCAAAATCCTTCAGTATGAGAAGAAATCTAAGTTTAGGGGAAAAAAGGACAAAATGAAATGGTACCACTGTATCACATGTTTTATTAAAGAAAGCTAATACGTGAAGATCCATGCAACCTAAATAAAGAAGATATGAGAAAAGTGTATGTTCTTTGATTTGTGTCTTATCTCCTGGAATCTATGAGTCACTTGAACTGTATATCTGTGGAGAGAACGAATGGAAAGCTCTTAAAAAATTTTTTTTTCTGAATATGCTTAATCTGTTTACTTTAATATGTGCAGTTCTTCATAATCTTGTTAAAAGCTTCATAGTTACATGGGAATAAAACAAACAGGTACAAATTTGTGAAATGTAGATGTAAAGATAAAATTCCCTTTTTGTTATTTATAGCTTGGCAATAAATTGTTTGTTGCATCTGCCCAGTTATAGGGATATTTAAACCTTGCCTAACCACATCAAAAGTAGGTGCTTCTACTTTTGCATTGCTTCTCCTTAACTACAAGTTTTTCCAGGCTGCTTCAGCTAACTGTTACCTGGTTCACTTATATCTGACTTTCCTTGATAGATGTGAATTATTGGAAAATAAAAAGACTTGTCTGATTCTGGAGTTAAACTGTGGAAGTGAAATATACAGAGTAAGGTAGAAAAAAGAGAAGGGGCAGAAATAAATTGGTTTAAAAAAGGGACATTATAGGGTGCAATTAAGAAAGAAGAGATAGCTAGTAAGGTAGAAAATGATAAAAAGGATGACAGAACTATTGGAGCAATATTGAGAGGCAGGAAAGCATTTTTTTTTGACTTTACAATTTCCAGTAGCTCTTCTAAAAAAGTTGATTTTGAGGATGGATTGAGACAAATACTGTACAAAACAAATTGTTTCCTCAGCTACTGCACAAACTTCAACAAGAGGAGACAATGGAGTTTATATTACATACAAAAATACTTCTGTCACAAGGTCAAATTGTATATTTTAATCTTGAGTAAGAAAGATGCAGTAATATATCATTTCCTAAACTTTTATAACAAGGTCTATATATATTTATGGAGAAGAAATTATTACTATTAATATTATCATCAACAACTTGTAAGTAACTGCATTATATTTTTTCAGAAGTCAGCTCCATACAGCTAAAAGCACAAATTTCAGATAAGTGGATGTAAGATTGCAGTTTTACTTACCAGTGCAGACATAATCTTAAAATAAGAACATTATTTTGCTCTGATATCATCAGTACTCCTCCCCAGTAACCTAAAGTGATAATTTAATGAACAAAGCAAAAAATCTAGATGTAACTTTAGTCCAACAGTTTAAGGACTACTTTTAATGAAAGAAAATAATTATATGTCTATCATTTTGACTGTTAGATGGCAATAACTAGCTTTATTTAGGATATGAAATATATCCAGTTACTAAATTTCATTTCCGTTGTGTTTTGATTAGTGCATTTTGATTAAATTCTGCTTTTTGATGGTCTACATATCTAATTTGTACCTCTGAATTCTGTCTTTTATACATGGCTTATCTAATTTAATTTCTCAGAGATTCTAGCCATATGTAATATCCTGTTGATATGTTTCCTTCAGTAATCTTCATTTCATACTATTATTTGACATTTTATGTTTGCTACTATAGTTTAAATACTGGAAAGAAAGTTTTTTGACATGAATTATATAGCATTCTACTAGCTCCTACTGGAGAGCTACATAACACAACGTGAATTTTGAGAAAGTTAAGGGGTAAATAATGGTTTACAAAGGATTAAAACCTTGCAGAATGGATAAGGATCCCTAAATAAATAATTTTAGAGTGATATGGGGACTTTCCTACTTGTTGGGGAAAGCTAGAAAATGAGTCAAATACTACAAAGGGCTCTTGGTGGTGGGGATTTTTGGAAGTGAGTCAGTGGATTGCCTTCAGTTATGATGCCTCTTTATTATTCCAGGGTTTTATAATCTGTTTGTAATGTTGCTGAATTTTTATCTACACCATTTTAAAATGTCTTAGGTTGGTTAAAAGTCATGTTATTTACGCTAAAGAACCTTGATACAGGTTATAATGTAAAACATAGCATACATTTCATTGTATTTCATTGAGACACAAATTAAGATTTGATTAGTATACTATCAGATGGTTTCTACAAGATTTTATTTTTGAAGTGGAAATGTAAAGTCATAAAGCTTGGACAGGACCGATTAAAATTTCTGCCAGTCACTATCAAATAGGATGCATGGAAGCAAGGAAGAGTCTTCTGGCAACATCACACCCTGTTCATTTAAAATTTCAAGTGGAAGGCTATCTTCTTATTTTGCATTTAGCTAATTAGATTATGATATACGCTTAGATACAAAGCCATAATATTTTATTTTGAGGGGTATTGGTAATAAACTAGTGTTGTAGGGCATTAAATCGCTGTTTGAAAACATGGCTTGCTCTTGGCTTATTGATTATAGTTGTAGCTTAGTGGGATGGTCAGTGAGGAGACATGCTTGATTTCGGGAATTGTGGATAATTCTTGGTTTGTTCTTATGCCCCATGCAAATATCTGTCTTAATCCACAAAAATGCAAGACAAGAACATCTAAAAATGAAGGGAAAATGTGAAATTGGCCAAAGAAGCTGTGATTGTTTTGCTCATCCATAATATTTTATTCTTTTTCTGACTTGTTCACCAAACCATGGTTAGAAAAAACTCTAGCTTAGTATTATGTATAAATGTATCACTTAAACATACTAATATGTTAACATTTTTATACCACTAGAGATATAAAATAAGTTCCCAATGGACCTTGAACATTTTGTCCTAAAAGTGGGTAAAAATTATTCTTTTTTTGGTTTTTTTGCATTTTTCTTTGCTTGCAGAAGTATTTTGTAGAGCCATGACCAAGAGATGCTTTATCTAAATTAGTTTTCCTTCTTATATTTGTGTGTATATTTTTATTTTGATACGCATTTGTAGCATTTTGGTTGTATGCTATAATAAGATTTTACTTATGTGATAGGTTAATCACAACTGCCATTCTTTAGTGAAAGACCAAAGTCCATGTTAAAAAGAACAAATCTGAAAGTGTAATGGCTATTTATTTTGCTTTCTTGTGTACTTTCTAAGCACCAATCAGATAACTGAACTACATAAAATTTCTCTTTAATGGTTTCATTGTTTATCCTAGAAAGATCACATTAGTAAAAAGTTCAGTATTTACTTTAATTGCATGTTTGAGCAGAAAAGCTTCCAGAACTGATTATTTCTGTCTTCTGTGAAATTTTTTTCAACTGCCAGTGGTATAAGAAAAATATAACCCATAGTTGCTTTGATAATCAAAGTAGCAAAAATTGTCCTACATTTACATTTACATAATTATTTTCTTTGTACAGGACTTTTCTTTTTGTGAGAGATGGGAACCCAAATAAACGAAATGTGCACAATGAAACTTCTATGCACTTGCTTTGTATGGGACCTCAGATTATGATTTCGGATGGAGCTCTCCAACCTCGCCTGACAAGACCCTTTGAAGATGATTTTAGAAGAGCAGATTGTCTGCAGATGATCTTAAAATGGAAAGGAGCAAAACTTGACCAAGGAGAATATGAAAGAGCTGCTATTGATGCTGTTGATAACAAAAGGAATACACCTTTGCACTATGCTGCTGCCTCAGGAATGAAGACTTGTGTAGAGGTAAAACTTCATATAAATACTTGCTGAAGTAAATAAAGAACAGACACTTGTCACAAAAGATAGGCAAGTAATAAATTTAAGAGCATTACTATTGTATCTAACTAAATAAACACTACATCAAGAGCCATGTATTATATTACATTTTTATTAATTTATATCCTACTTTTCTTCCATGATGGAATTACAGGTAATATCAAATTTCCCAATGGGTGTCTATTCAGTCACTGTTTAACTTCAACAGATTTGCTTCATCAACCATAGTAGCTATTCTTAAAATATCTAATGAGATTCCATATGTTCTATTATCTTAATTGTACAAGTGTAACCTTTGTATTTAAATTTAAATATGAACTTTTAAATGATTCTTCAATTTGTACAGTCATCATGGAGAAGTAAGGAACACTTCAATGTTTGTGGCAGGCATAGAATTTCTTGCTACTTTACAGTGATGTCATCTCCTTATTGGCTAGGTTTATCTGGTCAGGGTGAGACCTGAGAAAGAGGGCCAAGATTTCAGTCCTATCATGAGATTTTTAATGCTAAACTTCTATAAGGTTCTTTATGTGGGAATCACCTGAAGAAAGCAGAAAGGTAGCTGTTTCTATAAAAGATAATGCCAAGCAATGCATCGCCCTGTGGAAAAGAGTCATGATGCTGAAAATAATGTTTGGCTAATGGTAGAACTGTAGAAGGAGGACTGACTGGTAGCTGCTAGAGATGGCACTTGCTAGAGCTTCAACTGCTCCATAGCACTACTAGATTAATTACAGGTTTGAGCATAAGCATGGCATGAGTGATATAGATGGCATGGGCTGTCTGGTCAGACCCTCGGTTGCAGTCCATGAAGTTCCTTGATGCTGTATTTAATAAAGGTTGGAGCACCACTTAATCTAATACTGGTGAACGCTAAATTCTCTTATCCAGTTTTTAGTAGCAGGAAACCCAGACATAACATTGGATCCTTTTGGCAGCCTTTTTTAGAACTTAAAAGTCCTTTTATTACCAGTCTCATTTTTCTTTAATATGGTCCATGACCAGTACAATGTAAGTTAAAACAACCCAAGTGCAATCCAAAAATATAATAGCATTTTAATAGTTTAATATGTGGTGTTCTTCTGTTAAGAAGTCTGGATATAATGAAATCTTATGGCTAACACAGAAAACTTAACAATTAAAAAGGTGATTTCAGGACACTTGTCATTTAAGAAAACTTCTAGGTAGCATTGATTGAATTACCAAAATAAATTATTTCCTTGTATTATCATTTCAAAGAACTTTTCTTTGCCTGTGCAGAAGAAGCAGTTGCTGACCAAAACTGTTATACTGTTGGTGACTCAGTACCAAAAGTTTTGTTGTCTTAATATAAAGGCATCTGCCTATTCTTGAGTTGTTTTTATTTTGCAAGAATATAAAAGAAGGAAACAGGCTGTTCACTCAACATACTTAAACAATTTTTATATTTATCAGTGTAATGGTTATCTACAGTTTTTTGCATGTAGTTTATAAAAAAACATTTTAAAAGTATGCTAAGCGTATTTGTAGAAAAATAACAAATCATCAGTTGAAAAAGTTTTTTTCCTTTGTATTCAGTCTGCATATTTAGCAGGGTTGGTGCCGAAATCTGCATGGTAAAGGAAAGGCATGGGTTCTGCTTAGTATTATATAGTGCACACCATGTGTTCCAGCACAGGTACATGATCACATGAAGGAGAATTGTATGAATCAAGGGTGTATGCCATCACATTAACTCTGTCACTCAGTTGTTACCTGTATGTTAATGGGAATCGCTTATGGTTCTTTTCTGTCACAGATATTATGATTTTTGTGAGAATATTTTTACCATGGAAAGACTGTTACTGACAACAGCATATTCCTAGCTTTGTATAATTTAATAACTGTTTTCTGGTAGTGCAGTGCTTAGTAGCTGATTGACAGGGCATCAGTGTAGCTTTCTTAGTCTACTGAGTGTCCAGAGGGAAAGTTTCTTTATTCTTTCAGTTCTGTATAGTTTTCACTTACTTTCTGGAATTTTTTACACAAATTAGCTATTATGTGACTGATCATTTTTGTCCAAGGATTCACTTTATGCAAAAACACCACCACCACCACTAGTATGCATACTCAATTTACACCACAGGCCTGGAAACATGCCAACACTTCTTCCACCAAAACTGCTTGAACATTTTCACACCAAAACCCCTTTCTATACTTACTCATGCATTTACCATCGTATTCTGCAGTTATAGTTGTGCATCCTATTTCCCACTTACTTTCATACCTGCAATAGCTACTACAGTTACTATGAGGTCAAAACCTGTTAACATCTTGTCCAACCTTTTACCCAAAATGAAAAGGAGAAGAACCTCTTTAATCTTAGAAATGAAGTTGGACGTACAAGTAGTCCTCAGCTTACATCCATTCATTCAGCGATTGTTCAAAGTTACAGCAGTGCTGAAAAAAATGGACTTACAACTGGTCCTTGAAATTTCAGCTGTCACAGCATCCCCACGGTCACATGATCGCGATCTGGGTGCTTGGGTGCCTGGCTTGTAATTATGATGCTGCAGTGAGCCACATCATGTTATTGCCATTTGTGACCTTCCCTGCCAGCTTCCAACAAGCAAAGTCAATGGGGAAGCCAGCAAGGAAGATCGCCCCAGTAAGTCGCTTCTGCCATTTTTTCTCCTGAGGAGTCTGCTACAGAGTACCCAGGGATCTCGTACCCCATAGCAGCCTCCGCCTGCCCACACTCCATAGCGTGCGCCTGCCCACAGCACCCTCTCGCACCCTCCATTGGCCTGCCTGTGGCTCCCACCGGCCTTCCTGTGGCCCCTACACTCCCTAGTGCCTGCCTGCGGCGCCCCCACTTGCCCCTGGCACTCCTTACCTGGGACTCTCGCCTCTTTCTGCTTAACGACCCACATATCCTGGGGTTACGACGGCAACCAGGACTGCCAGGATTGCTGTCACTAAGCGATGCAGTCATGTAACATCATGGTTTATAAACACATTGCTGAGCATTGGCAATCCCAGTCCCAGTTGCTGTCATAACCCGAGGACTACCTGTATTACATTGCACCAAGGCTGATGAAGGAGCTTCGACCCTAGGACAACCTTATAATCTGGGCAAATCTCCATTAGGCACAACATAATAAAGGTGTTAATAAACCTCATAGTACTGTAATGCATTCTACCCCTGTCTTCCATGATAATTACATGCAATAGAAATCCAACTGTTGAAAAGATGGAGAAAATGCTTTCACTATACATAGAACATGAGACAAGGAAGAAAACATGCAGGATTTGGTGACATTATGCTTAAGAATAAGGCTCTTTTGTCAGTGCATTTGGAAAAATTTAACACAACCCCCTGCAACCCCCTTTTTCACTAGTTCATTGTCTCGCTTTATGTGAATTCACCTTTATGTAACTTTTGGTGGAAATGTAGCTCTAGCATAAAGCACAGGAAGCCTGTATTTGTTTTTCCCTATTCATGAATGGAGTACATCCTTCAGAGAGACTACAGACTGCCCAGGGATTACATCTAGTGCCAAACTTGGGTGAGCAGATTTCTGAGAGGAAAATTTCTTCCTCTGCCCCCCCCTCCTGGGTTTGGTAATACAAGCCAAGTCTGCCCTCTTACCCATATGAAATTGTGTATGAGGAAGATCTTATCATAGACAGACGTGGCAATTTAATACCAGCACTGGAGCCCCTGGACTCCAAAGATCTGGAATCCTGGCTCCTGATGTGAGGCTTGAGAGCCAGAAGGAGGGAGTCATGCAAAGGTATCGAACCTGTTTTTCCTGAGAGCAGCCCACTCTCAGACTTCCACCATACCTACTTTTATCCATTGCAATCAAGATCTTGTTCCTCCATGACCTCCCTCCCCCTCCTGGCTAGGACCTTTCTCTCACCCAAGGAAATCCACAGCCATCTGACTGGAACACTCAACCAATGACTTCAGGCTTAGATCAGCCCTCACATGCCACACCTTGCTCTCACTAGAGACAGGAAGCCCTCACAAAACCAGGAAACTTGAAGCCTTTGCTGTCACCCAGGTAATAGGCCAGGATCCCAAAGTCCAATCCCAGTGCTGTCTCCAAAGCCTTTTGCAAGGAGCACTTCCTAGGAGATTAATGCTGATGTATTCCAGCAATGACACTGTTCCAGATCACATTCCAGATGATATTAAAAAGACTAAGCAGCCAGGAAACACGCCTCCAAACCAGCCTCCTGAGCAATCCAGATGAAATAAAAAGTCCTCATAACAAAGTCCAGCTGAGGAACTCATGAGCTGGAGCCAGTGCTATATTAGCTGCCAAACCAGACCTTTTGCTTCCTTAGAGCTCCTGCTTGCTTCTGCTCTGGTAAACTCAGGCTTCCATGAGACACAAGATGTCAAAATGGTGACTGCCAACTTAAAGCTACCCAAAATTCTAATGCTAGGGACTAACCAGCCATCCAGAGATCCAGATAGTCTCCAGATCTGTATCTCAGGCCACAGTTCCATGTTCCTTCCCCATTAAACAGGACAGCAGAGGCCTTTGCAGCTCTTCTCCAGCAGTTCTTGCATGGTGATCTAGCAGTGTTGTCACTTCTTAGTTGAGAAGCAGACCGTACTGCAACTCACCAAAGTCCTACATCAACACATCAAACCCCAAATCTGGGACCAGCCAAGCTCCATCCCTTCAACATATTCTAACAGACACCTTAGATTTGCATTTCCCTGAATCACTCCAGTTGTGGTGCCATAACAAAAGAAAAAAGCGTATCATATGAGGTCATTGTTTCACATTCTCCTAAACTGCCTGAAAAGTTGTAATATAGCTTTCTAAAGATGTTTACAGTATATAAAAATGGCTCTTGAAATTCTTCAAGAATTGTATCGATAGTATCAAGAGAGTCACTGATATTTCTATTTAATTTTCAGCTTCTAGTAAAACATGGTGGAGACTTGTTTGCTGAAAATGAAAATAAAGATACTCCCTGTGACTGTGCAGAGAAGCAGCACCACAAAGAGTTAGCGCTCAATTTAGAATCTCAGATGGTGTTTTCACGAGATCCTGAAGCTGAAAGTATTGAAGCGGAATATGCTGCTTTAGACAAAAGAGAGGTAAACTAAAATTAAGAATTATTTATACCAGTTGAATATATACCTACTTAATGTGCTTTTTATTAAAAAAAAGCCTGAGTCACTGGAGAACTGTGTAATGTTTACCCTAAGCTCTTGGATTTGTCCATTAGAAACACAAGGAGCTGTTCTAGCCCATTGTCTTCTCTAGTAAACACTAACTCTAAAGAGACTTCAGCAAAGCAGAGTTCTTTAATGTGACTTCCTCCCTGTTGCTTTTTTGACCTGGCTATATCTTGTGCTGTATTTACTCAAACCACTTTCAAACTACATACAGTATGTGGAAAGAAATACGTTGCAAATATATGTGTTTCATAAATATAAAGTGTAGTAAATGTAACATTATTTGACCCATTTTGCTAAAATGTAATAAGCTTATGGAAGGTAACAGCTTGCAAAACCCATTTAAATGTTTCAGGGTGTTTTGCTGTCAAGAGGGTTTTCCCCCCCTTTTACATTGCTAATAATTTTAAATTATTACAGCATTAGTTTTTCTATAGAAATAACATTTTTTCTAAAAAAAAAAAGGGGGGGGGAGATAATAAAGCAAGAGGGGTTATGTTGCAGTATGGAATGTTCCAGTTCAAGGTTTGGTAGAATGCCAGTTGTGGGCATGCTTATTTCTCATTGTGCAGGCTTGCAGGGTTTTTTGAAGTTTTTTTTTCCATCTAATCCTTTTGGCACTTCTCAAAATGTGGAATTCTTCCTTGTGTTCTCTGTTTGGCTGCATGAAGACAAGTAGTCTAAGAATTTGTGTGCATGAACACAAAGCTATACCAGATAATACATTGAAAGCAGTATAGTACAGTTGCAACCATGCGTAGTCTTATGAAAGATGTCTGTGTCATGTATTGGGCTACTTTGCAGTAAGAATTTCTCACAATTTTGATACGTATAACAGTATTATAGTCTTGACTCTCCAATTTCTTTAAAGGAGTGAAAACGGAGGATATGCATTATAATAAAGCGCAATGATAGAAAAGGAGGGGAAGAGCTAATGTTTTGCCCTTGTAAATATGCCCTAATAGTGCATTGTATAACTTAATGCTTTCTGAAAGATTTAGTAGAAGAAATTATGTTTAATGAAAAGTTGAACAAGCCTTGCCTTTCTAGGAGCCATTTTTCCTTAAATGAAATGGACAGGCCTTGATGGCCAAATTCAAAGGGGCTCTGGGGGCCTCAAAAACCAGTTTGGGGTCCCTGTATGTTGGAGGGATTATTGGGAAGAAAAATGTGGAGATTATGTTGCCTTGAGTAAGTTGCCACAAAATTAATTTTTAAAGTTTTTTTCCAGTTAAACCTATTTATAAGTGAAGTATTTTTTTATTGCTTCATTTCATTCCATCACATAGCCATATGAAGGACTACGACCTCAGGACCTTCGAAGGCTCAAAGATATGCTGATTGTAGAATCTGCTGATATGCTTCAAGCACCTTTGTTTACTGCAGAAGCTTTGCTCCGAGCTCATGGTAAACAGAAACTATATATCATTTAGCCAATTTTAGTAGGAAAACTTTAATAACAAAATATGCTAATATATTTTTCCTCTGCTTTTCTAATAAAAATGACAGAGTATTGTAAATGCAAATTGCTTAAATACTTTATTTCATTTTGCATTTCTAGTAATTTAACCCATTCCTTATGTTGCAAAGTATAAAATGCATTTTTTAATGTTGATACTGGTGAGATTATATTTAGAATTTTAATGATTGTCATGAAAGAATAGTAATTTTCTTAGAGCCTGAACGCTAAAAGTTAGAAATCATTTTTCCCTGAGGCTGGATAGGTCCTCTCATTATGACAGTATAGTTTAACGGTTATGTGAATTGCAGATGCACCTCTTTTATGGAATTCTTAACTGCAAAAGAAGGGAAGTAAGTTAAATTGTCCATTCCTGTCTTGAAGAATGAAGTATATTAGATAATAATAATCAACCTAAAGCTAACAGGTCTTATGAAGCTTATAGCAATGATAGAAATTTATACCAAATCCTTGAATACTTCCACAATCCATTTGATGATCCAGAATAAGGTGAGATTTGGACCATTACAGTTTAAGGTTAATATCCTTAAGTAGGTTCAGATGATTGATTAATCTCATTTATGTGCAGATTCAAGATAGCAAGATGAAAAACTGCTCAGGAATTGTAACAAATAAAAAAAAATGTGAGTGTAATCATGAATAACTGTAAATCCAAATTCTATGCCCACACCGAGTGAACAATAATTGACATTTGAGAACCAACTGCTCTAAATTATAGAGGACTATTTCTTCGTATATAAACTGTAACTTCATTTCCTTGGTCACATGAAATGTATACATCTTGTATATTAAGAAAAACTAGGGCTTCTTATCTTTATTTGGGATTAAGCAGGAAAATTGTTTAGCTAGGCAGAACTGAAATTGTGTGGTCTAATTCAATCTGATCTACATAATCTTAATTGAAGTGGATGAGATGGAGGTTAGCTGAAATTGTATCACTTTTATACATACTAGAAAGAGCACAGCAGAATCAAATGAATAAGAATATTTTAAAAGGTAATATAGACATCATACTCTATGCGTCATCATGGGTATATCTGTCTATCACATATAAATCTTCTTGCTTTATGCAGATTGTTTTGGAACCCACCCATGTGGCAGGACATACTTTAGATTTGTTTTTTATTTTATTTTTTTATATAATGGGTATAAATCAGTATATGAGCGTCCCAGAAAGCAGTACCTGGTGAAGGTTGGATTGTTGTGGCAAGTTTCCCTCTGCAAGGGCCATAGCCAGATTAGGATTGTTTTGCCTTCAGATTCTGGGGGCTATGGTCAATGTTTTCTTTAAAATGACCACCCTATCAGCAACTTGAGAAATTGAATAATGAAGTATCTTAAGTATTTCATATGATGACTCATAAGTATCTCTATAATGTTCTTCAGTGTATAGAACATTCATGGAGCATTCCCTGGTGAAGCATAAGGGCAGGCAGCTTGAGGAATTGGGTTGCAGGTATAGAAATGCATCCAGTCTAACATAGTATATGCACCAATCTCAGTGCTTTATAATAGGCTTTATAATAAGGGAGTAAAAATTATGACTTTCCACCCTGATTGCATCAGTGGTACCCTTCAGGATTGTCAGGTGGATGACATAGCCTTTGGTAGTGCCAGAAAGTGCAAATACCATCTGATGATCTTTGTAAGCAGCTGTACAAATCCTTGTGGATAAAATTGCTCTGCTTCACATTGGACTTGATGGCACTTTGGGCACTACCATGTCCAAGTGCTCTATTCTGATAACATCTGTCTGAGGCAGCTTCATTGCTCATTCGTTGAAGAGGTGAATAAGATCTTTGGATCAGTTCTTGCTTCTACTTACCTGCTAGATCCTTATCCAGTTTAATTTATAAGAGCATGCAAGAAGCCCATCTTGCTAGCAATGTCTCAGATTTCTAAGACTATTAACACTTCTCCACAACAGGTGGAGTTCCCTGCCACCTTAAAAGAGGTAACGATGAGACTGTTGTTGAAAAAAAAAAACTTTTGCAGTGTTTAAATGCGAACTCTTTTGACCTAATAACAAATTATTCCAGTTCAGTTTCTAATTTAACCAATTTGTTATACTCTGACATTTTGCAACAGTGATGAGAAAGCCAATTTTATTAGCTGCTGTTCAGCCGTTTCTTGGTCGGTTGATCAGTGGGATTTACAAACCTCTGTTGCATTATATAGGCACATATTGATGTGCTTTTATTCCTGCCGACCTTCCGTTCAGCCCTAACCCTAACCCTCTAATCAGTTTTCTAGGGATGCATCCAATGGAGGGCTCAGTGTCCGTACATTTTCTCTACCACCAATATCAAAATGCTCAAGAATAGCTATGCACTAGCAAAGTTGTGAGATCTGGTTCATAACAAGACAAAATTTTGTATGTCCAAAATTTTCAGAACTTAACATGGACACTAAAAATAAAAGGACTGCATTTGCTAAATGAGTAAATGCTTCTGGATTTGTTGATGAGCTTTCATTTTTTCACTTCAGCAGTGGCTAGTCAGAGTCATAGTTGCCACATGTGAAATGTGGGAAAGCTAATCCTTCCCTTCAACCCCTTGCTTTTTAAGGGGATAAAAGAAAGATCAAAACATCAGAGGAGATTCATCAGAAGAGTTCTGATTTGTGACAGCTCCTGCTTGTAGGAAGTAAGGAAGATCACCTTGATGGAAATAGGTGGGATCTGTTGCATACGTAAAAGGGACTGAAGCATTTTTTAAGTCCATAATGAAGCAGCTCAGACAGATGCCTCCCTAATTCACTGAATCTTGAGGAGGAGGAGGAGGAAGGATCTGAGAACAATCAGACTTGCAAGATTCTGTTATTGGAGCCAATAGTTTTAGCCTACCTGTGAAGTTGATTTTCTGGTCACCCTACCTATCAGCTGACACTGATTCACTTGAATTTCTGGGCTGCATAACGTAAGATAGCTATTAATTTGATTCCTACAACACAAGGTATTATTCAAACCAACCAAAAACAAACTATGGCTTCATGCTATGGTTAAGGCATAGAGCCGCAGTTCCCAAACGGTGTGCTGAGGGTGTCACAGCGACTCACAGAGGCACCATGAGATATTTTAAGTGTTTGTGATGTCCATTTGTGGAGCTGGGTTTTGCATAATCTATTTGCTACATCATATTTTTATGCAGCTGGATTTTCAGTGATTGTTTAGCTTAGGGGCTCTGTGAAAAAATTACTGAGGCGTTAAGGGTGCTGTGAATTGACAAAGTTTGGGAACTTCTTGCATAGAGCCTTAACCACAAGAGGAAATAATTTCCTAGTTCAGGCAACATCCTAAGTCTAACCAAAATACAGCATAGCAGTACAAACCCAATCTATGTTTCAGTTTTTCCGTGATTTCTCTTCAGTGCCCAAGTAGCCATGGGAAATGCATCCCTCTTCACATCCCCAGTAGTTCAACCTGGGAACAAGTTTATCTCTCAGCTGACATAAAAATCAAATGTGGTCTACCCTAAGCACATTTATATACAGTAGAAAAGTAAAGTCTCCTTTGAGTTAAGTTTGACTCCTAATAATTTCATGGACACAACCATGTGTTTTCTTGGCAACAAAATAAAAGTAGTTTGCCATTGTCTTATTCCAGAATGTTTTTTCAATTTCTCTGATTAGCCTACTGTCCTGGTATTTCCTAGCAATCTCCTAGCCAGATACTAACTAGTCTAATCCTGTTTATGTTTTCAAGATCAACCCAGTAACTTCAAGATCAACATCAACCCAGTAATTTCTCTTTAAAAGAAAAACAGCTTTAAAAGTCGAACCCCATTTTTCTTTTATAAAATCTTCCTTCAGTAGATTGATTAGTATTTTATCATACAGAATTGCATTTTATGATCTCTGCTACACAGTCTGAGTGCTGGGAAGCTGCTCTGAATATATTATTTTGGATTAGTCCAAACAGATTCTTAGTTCTGAGGTTTTTCTTCCACTTTATCCAGGGTTCTTAATATTGTAGAAATTAACTTCAAGCAGGAAAAAGGTATATGCACACACAGTATGCATAGGTATATTGTAGCACACTCTGCTGGCATAAATTAGAATCTGTCGATTCAAAAGTATCCTTTGAAGAAAGCCTTCTTCACCATTTTGTACACAAAAGGTTCTAGGTTTACTTCCTGGTTTTCTAGGTAAGACGGATAAGAGCTCGTGTGTGAAACTCTTCCAGTAGTAATGTATGGCTGTGAGAGCTGGACCATAAAGAAGGCGGAGCGCCGAAGAATTGATGCCTTTGACCTGTGGTACTGGAGAAGACTCTTGGGAGTCCCCTGGACTGCTAGGAGGTCAAACCAGTCAATCTT